AGTTTATCTGGCTTTTAGCTGCACATGATGCATGGTGGCTGCCACCGCACCACCCCAGCACCACCTCCCATCTAGAGGAGCCCAGCTGCTCCTCAGCTTCAGTTTGCTGCTCTTCAGCTTATTTTCCCTTCCTGCCGTGCATCACAGTGGCCTCCTCAGATGTGACTTTGTGTCTGCCTTTACTTAAGCCATGACCGAACCTCCCTGGGATGGGCTCACTCCATGGGGGGTTTTGAGCACATGGGGCCAAGCTGCTGGGAGTGTTTCAGGCTTTGAGCAACCAAGAGGATGACGCAAATTACTTTTTAAGGGCACAAGATAAAACAGCTTCTTTTCACTGCAGATGTGCTGCGGGCAGCGCACATTAGCTCTGCAGAGGAGGGATAAAGCCGTCCGGTCCCCATAGTGTCTGCGTGGGCAGGGTCACTGGGTAGCTTGGGCTCCCACGCCACCCGAAAATGGAGCCAGGTAGGGCTGGGAAAGGGCTGGGAAGATATGTGATGAGGTTTGTCATGCCAGCAGAGCTTCCTTGTCCCCAGGAAACATGAGTTGAGAAATTACTTATTTCCTGGAGGAGCAGTGCAGATGGGGAGATGGAGGCGCGTTAGCTATGGCTGCCCCATCTCTCCTCTGAGAAATGCCAAGTGCCTGGGGAAGGTGACTCTCTGCAGCATGTCCCCATCCCCTCCAGTGGCTGCCTTGTCCCGGCTGTGCAGCGTGAGTGGGAGAAGCCGCGGGAAGTGAGGGAAGACACTTCCTCCAGCGGCGGATCTGAGGTCACCTCCTGGCCCTTGATCCCTCCAGCCTGGGGTATTTGGGTCAGCGGGGAAGCACAGCTGAGAGCGACATGCCTTCCTTCTCTCTCCCTGGAGAATAATTTTTAAAGGAACAAATAGGCTCAGCCGCAAGTACTACACAGTACGATTTTTAAATTATGTTTTTTGGAACAATGAGCTAAATACCAGGGGGGGTTGGATCTGCATCTCAGAGTGGTGATGTTTTCCTCTGTTGTTTCTCACCTTCCTGTGCACACCTTGCTCTGCTCTGCCATGACCAGAAACGTTTTTCTGCTTGGGAAAATACTGAAAAGGAAGGAGATTTCATCCTTTTGGGATGGCCTTTCTGGAAAGCAAGCTGAGCTAGTGTCTGGCACATGGGACCCACCTGGACCGACCCTGGGGGCCTTGCCCACCTCTTACTGCCATGAACATGTGAGCATGGTGCTCACAGCCCTCCCTGGCCCCTCAGCACCACCAGCCCCATTTCAGGTCCTGACCCCCATGTGCCAGTCCTCCTCTGCCACAGGGTCCCCAGCAGTGTTGTCACCCACTGGCTGGAGGACCTGGTGGGCAAATGGGTCACCTCCCTAGTTTTTACTCCATCTTGAGCCCAGGTTGAGCAGTGCCAGGGGGGATGGCTCCGCTTGGCCATGTTAACCACATTTCCTACACTAATGCACCACTGTTCCCCTTGGAGATCCTCAACCACTGTATTCCCCTGTCCATGTTGAAGTCTGTGTTGCTTTGGACCTGGCACAGGCCAGCAGTTTGGCTTTGTTAAGTCAAGATGGGATGGAGCAATTTGCAGAGCTGGAGCTTTTCACTGTGTGATCATGCTGTGGCAGGGCTGCATAGGGGATGTTCTCCTTGGTCAACCTCTCTGCTCCAGCAAATGAGCACCAGCCCCATGCTGGGTTCATCCCATACTCCAGAGCATCCCCAGGACCACCAGGAAGGTCCCATGAGCTGTAGGGGAGGCCAGGGCTGCAGGTGGCCTGGGCTCAGGTGGCAGGTCGGGCTGCTGCTGTCCCCCAGCCTGCTGCCAGACCGAGCAGGGAGGAGTGGGGTGTGTGTACCCGGGGGGTCACAGCTCCCCAGTTGCTGCTCTGCTGCCCACAGGAGGGGCTGTGGGTGAGAGCAGGGCAGCCTGGACATGGCTGGTCTTGGAGTAACTCGCAACACCAAGCAGGGTCAGCAGAGAGGTGGCTGTCAGGGAGGGACAGCATGTGTTAAGCAGCTTCTAACACTGCCAGCCCCCAAATTAGAAGTCATATTCACTTCCTCTTGCAAAAGGAAAATGCTTTAAATGCCTTTTTATCGTTTTAACTTAAAAAGTGGTTGCTGAAGCATTTGGTGTTTCTGCAAAGTCATCCCTTGGAGAGGGGGATTCTTCCTGTCACCAGCCAGTCCCCCCCACGGCACCCAGCCAGACAGGTCCAAAACCAGCCCTTTCAGCTGGTGCTCCCAGGAGGTGGTTGAACTCATGGCACCTTGAGACTCAATCAAGTCTTAACCTGACTTCTGTCCAAGTTCTGCACAGCTCTTGAGCTCCTTCCAGCTCTTTCCTCACCTGGATTTGATTCATCGTTTCTTTTAGGATCTGCTTGATCATACTGCACTGCTGATAAGTCTTCGTGCTTCTTGTGGGGGCTTGTCTTTGTGTGTTTCAGTATCTCACCCAGGTTATCAGCCACAGAGGGTTGTGAGGTGTGGCCAGGCTAGGAATTAACCATCTCATCCAAACTCCATGGAAATCAGAAGCAAAGATTCCCCCTTTCTTTTTTTTCCCGTGGGCTTTAAATCAAGTTGTAACTTATCCAGCATCAGAAGAGCTGCCGAAGGGAAGGTGGTTAAGCCCTGTCTGGTTTCCACTGGAGGAATGGCTGTCTCTGCCCTTTATGTCCAGGAAAGTCCAGGAGAAACTTCAATACCATGTTACTCAGATTGCCAAAAGTAAACCCTTCATCCCCTGGAGAGGATCCAGGGACTCTGTCTCCATGTCCAGAGGGGTAGGTCTGGGACTACACCTGAAACCCATTTTTTTCCCAACCCCTGTTTTTCTGCCATGGCTTTCCTCCATGGTCATCCTTGCCCTGACCCTGACCTAGATGGAAGATCACTAGTGTCACGCTGGGGGTAAATTGTGCAACCTGCTCTCCAGGGGCTGTTTCGGTGTGAATTACGCCAGGACCGGAGTTGGGGCTGTGGAGGCTTTCTCATGCCCCCAGATTTTGGCCAAGGTTTCCTTCCAGCGCTGGAGCTCACCCAGCCCTCCCGGCTTCCCAGGGCTTCACTGGGAAGCGCTGAGAAGACAAAACCCCGCTCTGGAAGTGAGGCTATTGTTCTTACTAATTTTAACTTGATGTTCTTCCCCAAGCCTATTTTTATTCATTGCTTGTGGTAAGCCCTTTCTTTAAGGTAGAGCAATTTGCCACAGGACTCTTTTTTTGTGTTTACCAATTTTAATTGAGCGATATCTCCCTTTTACAAACCCAAAGCTGGAGGAGCTTTTAAGCATCCGTTACTGAGCCTCTCACCCCAGGTTTGCTTTGATCTCTGCAGGTGAGTGTGCATTTTTGGGGCCAGAGATTGATACTGCTTATTTGCATGTAAATCTCCAGGTTATTAAGATCAGAATCTGGCCCTTTAAATTTAATACTTTGCTTTATGCTTTTATTTCCGCATTTCTTAAAGCAATTTCCAAAAATAACAAACTTCAAACATGACGGGGCCATCTAACGTTTTACTGCCTTGGCTGGAGTAGAAGGAACATTTCTGGAAGTATATTATCCAATTTAACGAGCCTTTCCAATCTTGGCTTTGCTCCCACCCCTCACCCCCTCTTGGAGTTGTTTTGGACGGCTCTTTGGAGCTGTGCCACCTAATCCTATTAGAAGGACTTTCATTACACTGTGCCTTGTGTTTATAACCAAGAAAATCAGCCGAAGAGGGGGGTCCTCTCCCTCACCCTTGCCCTTTTACATTTCGCCTGGTGTTGAGACGAGAGCCTGGACAGTCCCACGAGGTTCCTGCGCAGCCCTTGCTTTTCTTTTTATTGCTCCACTCTGCATTTATTAAGGAAGACTTCAGAGTAAATTGGGTCCTTGCAAACATAATTAATTTGGAAGGGTCAGTTCTTCCCAGGCTAGTGAGGGCTTCTTTGTGTGGTCCTTTTTGAAACACAGAGGTTGGAGAGGCTGTTATATAGCCAGTATTTGCTTTTAATAGGGACCTGGCTATTTTCTGAAAATCTCATGGCTCTTGAAGGATGGGTTGTTATTGTGGGGGGTTATGCTAAAAGGGTTTGCAGAGTGCTTTGTCTGGGTGCAAAAAAAACAACCCCAAAAAAGGAATAAAAAAGCAACACATGTCCTAGGGTCCGTGCGGGGCAGTTTGTGTTCAACAGCCCAAAAATCAGTGCCTAAAGCTGGTAGATGCTCCAGGAGGTCCCCTCACTTGGGTGCTGGGTAGGGCTGGGGGCCCCTTGTCCATCCATCTGTCCTGCACTGCCCCATGTCCCACAGAGGGGACCTCTTGTTTCTCGGAGCTGGTAGACTGACATTTTTTTTTCTTACCACTTTGCTTTTCTCAAAAGCTTTCCTTTCCTCCCCAAAATAATCACACAAACCATTAAAGAAAGAAGATGGAGGGCAGGATGATGGGCTAAAATAATCTGTGAATAATAAAAGTTTCTGAACAAAGAACAACTAGTGGTTTTCTCAAGAGGTGAGTTGTGAGGAGACATGAGATCACGGCCTCACCTGGGTATTGCCCAGCAGGGCCAGGGATGTAATCTAACCTGGCACAACCTGTATGTCTTCCATCAGCTCAGCTGCAAGGAGAAATGTCCACTGAACGTGGGCAAGGGGGAGGCAGGGGAGGCGAGGCAGTCCTGCCTCTGGGGAGTGGGGATTGGTGATGAGTGAGTGTGGTACCTGGTAACACAGAGCTGTAACTCAAGATAGGAAACTTGTCATAGCCAAAGCCAGGGAGAACAGGGCGCTGAGGAGCACGGGGGGCTTTTGTCTGTGGAGACGTCCCCTGTGGAAGAGGCATCAGTGGAGGAGGCATTACACTCACAACAAGGCCCATTAGAAAAAAAGCATTGAAAGCTCAGCACCTTCCCTAGGACACATATGAACCCAGTGGGGGGAAATAAAAGGAAAACCTGGCCGTGCCTCCATCACACAGGTGAACAGCGAGATGCTGCAGATTGTGTCCCGGCTGTGATGCTGGCAGGGAGCTGGGCAGTAACCATGTTATTTATGAGCTGCACTGTTAATTAATGGTGTGATGGGCTGCCTCTCTGCCGAGCACACCTTGAAAGCTGGAGTCGGTCCCTGGTTGTTCCCCTCCTGGCCCCCATTTGATATCCCACCCTGACCATCACCTTTCTTCTCTCTCTCCCTAGCATGGGTCGGCTCCTTGGCCATGGGCATGATTTTTTTCTGCTCTCCCATCGTCAGCATCTTCACCGACCGGATTGGCTGCAGGACCACAGCAGCCTCAGGAGCTGCCATCGCCTTCATTGGACTCCTCTCCAGCTCCTTCACCAAGTAAGGCTGCAGAGGGGCTGTCTAGCTCCTCAGTGGGCTCCTCTTTCTCACTGTTCCCTGCAACACCCCTGCCTACACATTGCTGCTCCCTTTTGGGGCAAAGCAGGTGGTTTCCATCCAGAGGAGAGATCTCCTGGCATCCCTACAAGCCCCTGTGTGCACAGCTTGTTTCTCTCTAAATCCAACCAAATTGTTCTTTTGTCCTTATATAACAAGAGAGCGAATTATACCTGAGCAAGGAGCTTTATTTTGTGGAATTTCAGCCCTTAGGTCCTTCATTTGATCTTTAAAACAGGCAGGGAGAAGTTGGTGTGCCTCTTGCAGGCAGCTCCAAAGAGACACTTGTGGACAAAACTGTTCTTTGCAACCGATTTCACATTTGGTACTGAAAGTAAATTAATGCTTAAAATAATATTTTATGGGTTACACCTGGCAAGAGGGAGTATCCATACAGGGCAAACAGGGAGAGGGATACATACAACGTTTGGAGCAGTTTGTGCTGTTCCCACACCGGCTTGGGTGCTTGCGGCAGCGCAGAGCAATTGCTGCTCCTCGTTTTCTGTGGCTGATCCCATGCCATGAATTTCTGCTGGCATGCACTCATCAGTGTGCATTTGGATGGCAGGTGTACCTCATTCGATGTGAGAGTCTTTTCAACCCAAGATATTTGCATCTATGTGGGAGCAAAAAGAAGTCAGTGGGCTCTTTCATGCAGTACTTGTTAAATGCATTCTCAAAGGCACTGTGAAGACACCCTCCAAAGCATCGTCCCAGCTTGTCTGAATAAAAACATTGCTTTGGGTTGGATTTCAATTAAAATCAATATTGTTTTAATTAAAATGCTTCAAGAAGTGGGTTTTTTTTAAGGCAAATAGACAGTAGTTTCTCAGAGGGCGACTTGCGTGCTCTGTGCTCCTCCCTGCCCACCCTGCCTGCGCAGGGCAACAAGACGCCAGCTCCCTTTTATCCTGGCAACAAGACCCTCATGCTCACCCCAACCCTGATTCCCTGTGGATATGAGCTGTATGATGGGTCCCTGAGTCCCTGGCTGAGGGACCCTCCCATTACACTGTGAGAGGGGAGACAGCTTCTGAGCCTCCTGACAAAGCCCCAGAGCCTGGCACTGATTGCAGACGGGGGATTTGGGATGCTAAAACCATCTCAGGCAGCAGCACGGGCAGCAGCGTGGAAGGAACCACCCTCTGCGACTTCCTTTGCAGATGCCACCCCTTTGTATTTAAAAAGATAAGAGTAATCAGGGAGAGTGCAGCCAGTCCTGAGGGAAGGTATGCCCAGGCTTCTGGCAGTGGAGATCACAAGCGCTTCCCATGTAATCCTGCTTTCCTTCTAATCCACGAAGCTTGGACTTTTTTCCCCCCCTCATGTTGTAAAATGTTCGTGCAAAGAGCTCTTGGGATCACATTGCTGCCAGCGGCTTGTCGTGTTGGGCTAAAAAAAAAATCAAAACAGTACAGGCAGAGAAGAGTATTATTTCCAGGAGAGCTCCAGAGCTGAAATCTCCGTTTCCTGCCTTCTCGCTCTCAGTTCACATTCCTTTGGCTGCCTTTTAAGGGAGAAAGGAGCCCCTTTGCAGCTGGACCGTGGCAAGGGAAGCTGCCTTCAAGCACAGCTGAGCCGGAGGAAGAGCAGCGGGGCTGTGGGATTTGGCAGCACTCCATCTGGATGGTGAAGGCTGGTCCCGAAATTCAGAGCTAGCGGCTCCTGCTCACCCAGAACAATGGAGAAGGGTGGGTTTTTCTGGTCCCCCTTGCCAGCTCCCTGCAGCTGCAGCTGGAGATGACCCACCCAGCGCCAGCTGGGTGACATGCGCTGGTGCGAAGGGAGCTGCTGTTTGTAAGCTGCTGTAAGCTCGAAAGGGAGATGCAGCCTGGGTTTGGTGGGCTCAGGCAGGGCTGGATCAAGTCTAATCAACCCTTTATCTCCTGATTTCTCTGAAATGGGTTTGCTTTGTCCAAACAGAGGAGCAGCAGTTGCTGGCACTGCACCAAGCCAATCCAAAAGCCCGCTCAGCCACTGTGCCTGCACGGCAGGACCCCAGCACCCAGCTCAAACCCAGTGCCTCCTACTCTCAGAATATTGGGAACTTTGTACAAAAAACACTAAATAAACAAAATATGCTGAAAAGCAAAGCTCTGGGTAAGGCTGAAGTTTTCTGGCTGGGGTGGAGGCAAGGCTTTTCCTCTCATTCCCGCACTGCACCGGCATGTCTCCTGAACCTGTAATCAGCTCGAGCCACTACAGATCTTAGGCACCCTCAAGAAATCCTAGCTGTGTTAAGACTTCACCTTCCCTTCAGTTTTAAGGGGGATATTTTAGCATAAGGAATGGGAAAAGATGGCCAGTTCAGCAGGGCTGTCCCCTAGTGCCCTCCCATTCTGCACTGTGAAGTGTTCCATGGTGGGATTTGAGTCTTTTTTCACCTGCCTGTCCTTCCCCTCCACAATTTCTGCCTGTTTTTTCCCGCAGTAATTCCCCAACCTCTGCCACCAGGGCCGAACCAGGGCCATTCCCGTTATGAGCTATAAGTAAGAGGCAGCCACTGGAGGAAGATGTCATTATCTATGGGGGGGATCTGAGGCAGTCAGTGCCACACTTCTCAGCAGAGAACAACCAGTTGATTCCCAGCAAGCAGGGAGGGAAATCCTGCCTAAGAAGCATGGCTGAAAGGAGCCCCTGCTCATGCGTCTCAGCATGTCTCAGCGTCAAAGAGGAGCAGATGGAAACTGTGGCATTTGTCTCCACTTATCCAACACGTCAGCTTAGCCATAGTACCAAAGCTGGTGTGACCCAGCTGAGATGGGCAGGGCTGGTGCGTGGGAGGTCGGAGACAGCCTGCATAGCCCAGCTGCCTGCCTGGCTCCTGCGGAGAGGGTTTCTGATGTGGCTTCATTCTGGAGTAGATGGAAATTGCCTTTCATGACAGTCATTTGTCTTTGAGCTGTTGGGTACAGCAAGCATGTTCTGCTTTCTGCTTGGCTAGCTAGAGAGATGAGCGTGTAATGGAAGAAATGATGTGCTTGTAAATGTTTTCTCAACTTTGAACTGCTCTGTTAGATCTGGGCTGCTGTCTTCTCGCTTGCTTCATGAGCAGCACTCAGTATTTCACAGAGTCCTTCTGAGCGTTGGAGTAAAGACCCTGTTCATGCAGCACCGCTTGCCCAGTGAGCTGCCCAAATGTTTCCATCACACTCTCCTCCCGTGCACTATTTCATGGCAGACTTTTGCAGCTGAATGTATTGCATGGGGATGAAGAAAAAAATCCTTCGTCTGCAGAGAAACACATTGGGTTATTTGCACCATCTAACTTTAGGCTCATTTCTTAGCTCCTTCTCTTGGGAAAACAGGGCTGGGAATTGGGAAACAGCTCCTTCCCAGGGCTCTCAGGACTTTCCACCTGTTCTGTGGAGCAGCCACTTTGCTCCTTCCTTGAGTGCAGCCACCAATGTAAAGTACAAATGAAATCTCTTAACTGTCTAATTGAAGCTCCCAGAGGAACTTAAAGAAGAAGAACTTAATTAACAAGCTTGGAGCCTGGGCAGAAACACAATGTTTCTGTCCTCCGTTCCTAACAACCATCAGGGTCAGTGTCTTCTTCTTTCAAAGGCTAGGTGCAGAATGTTTTCAATTAGTCTTTTCAGTGGAAAAAAAAATTGATTTCTAGCTAAAAATAACCCACCCTGCCTACCTTAGAATATCTTGCTTGCTGTAATTTAAAAACCATTCAAGTTAGGCCAACTTCCCAAGGAGGGCAGGTTGGCTGCTGCCTTCTCTTTGCAGAAAGCGCTCCCCAGCTAGACTTCATTTTCCCAAAGATTTAACATGCCAGCTGTGAAATGAGGATAATCCTTGCTTTGACTAGGGGATAAGCTCTTTGAGGTCAGACTGTCTGTGTAGCACCTGTCGTGTGTGAGACCCGGGTCTTGACTCCAGGTTACGCAGGGCTGCGGGGGTGAAGGCTTCCTTACCTCTGTGTAACGTAACAGCCTGGATGTGGTTTTTTTCCACTAGGTCTCTGGAAGTTCGTTATTTCACGTATGGGATCCTCTTCGGCTGTGGCAGCTCCTTCGCCTTCCAGCCCTCACTGGTCATCCTTGGTCACTACTTCAAGCGCCGCCTTGGCTTGGCCAATGGCATCGTGGCTGGTGGCAGCTGCCTCATCTCTGTGCCGCTTCCCTTCTTCCTGAAGATGGTCGGGAAGGCCATTGGGCTGGCGCATACTTTCCAAGTACTCAGTGCCTTAATGCTCATCCAGATATTCTTGTCTCTGACCTATCGTCCCATCTTGCCACCTTCTCATGACTCTCAGCACGATGGGCAGGACAAGCTGGGCAGCCGGAGCATGAGGCAGCAGTGCTGGTCCCAGACACGCAAGTATTTCAACTTAAGGGTTTTCCGGAGAAAGACCTATCGGATTTGGGCCTTTGGGATTGCTACTGCTGTCCTGGGATATCTCGTACCTTACATGAACCTGGTAAGAGCCTTGGCTGAGACTGGAAGGGGAAGGAGGAGGTCCCTTTGCCTGGAGTGAAAGGTCTCCTCTGTGCAAGTGAGGAGGAGGTGGGAAGGTGGTGATGGGCAGTAGGGGCAGAGCCACTGGAAGCCTCGAAGCTAAGAAACTGCTGCAGGCATGTCCTGTAAACAGGAATAGTGATGAGAGGAGGCAGCTTTTTAATGCTCCATGTGTTCTTTGTGCCAGGGTGGGCAGAGCAGTCACTTCCCACAGCTCCCAAGGACAAACATCAGTATCAGGGGAGGAGGGGGCTGTTGGGTTGGGGGTGAGCGGAGGTGGTGTGTGCAGGTCAGTGCAATGTGGACATGAGGGTTACACAACCACCCCAAAAGCCACTAGCCCTCTGCAGGAAGTCTTGTCTATTTTTGGGATATGAGAGGGATTAATTTCCTGAGAATTCATGTCCTTGAATCCTTCCCTCCATCCAAGGTAAAATATGTGGAGAAGCGATTTCAAGAAACCAAAAAGGACTGGATCCTTCTGGTTTGCCTCGGAGCCATGTCAGGTCTGGGGCGCTTGGTTTCAGGCCGTATTGGCGACTGCATTCCTGGGCTGAAGAAGATTTACCTGCAGGTATGTTGTGTCCAACCTTCTGTGTAGTTGCTGGCTAACTGCTGCAGGTCGGGGGATAGCATCTCTACATCAGTATCGACATTCTGCTTAGTAACTGTCAACCACAGATCACAAATCCTTTACTGACTATTACCTAACGCCCTTGTCTGCTGTTAGGAAGGAAAATTTGTTATAGAAAGGTGTACAGAGAAGTTACACACTTGACCTTGGCATCTGTTCAGCACTCAAACTCTGTGGTCCCAACTCTTCCCAAACTGCTGGACACCTTTTTGTGGTTTTTGAAAAATAAACTGCTGAAATCTAGCAGCTAATCCAACAGATAATCCTTCCTAAAGCTTCTTAAAAGGTAATCCTTAAGGGCCTCTCTGAGATGAGAGCAAAGGATGGATGGCATTGGTGGGTCCAGAGGAGGGGGCAATGTCATTGACCTGTTCAGTGTCAGCTTCATGACACTGCCTGCTGCTCATCCTGCACCCCAATGACTTGCCCACTTTTGTCTCCTCAGGTTGCGTCCTTCATGCTGTTGGGCCTCCTGTGCATGATGATCCCCCAGTGCCAAGGGTTTGAAGGCGTCATTGTCATCTGCCTCTTCCTCGGCCTTTGCGATGGCTTCTTCACCACCATCATGGCCCCCATTGCCTTCGAGCTGGTGGGGCCCATGCAGGCGTCACAGGCCATAGGGTACCTCATGGGGCTGATGGCTGTGCCCATGACTGCGGGTACACCGATAGCAGGTTGGTAGCACTATGGTGCCAGACCTGGACCCAGCTGTTGAGAGGGAGCAGATTCTTGTAGCAGCTTTCACCTGTGATGATATTTTGGCATGAGACCAGACATACAGTTTTTAATTTTCTGGCCTGTCATGTCACATGGGTGTTGAAGTATGGGTGTAGCATCATTCCATGCTATGTCCTGCAGCATCTCAGGTCCTTTCTTCAGGTTGATGAACGGTGACCAGTGGGGAACAGTGAGAATGATCTTCAGGTCACATCAACTGATTTCTGTTTGAAGAAATAAAATTTTCTGAAATAAAAAATGGCAAATATTAGTTTTCCAGATGTCCTTTTAGATACCTGGGGAGTGATTGCTAATCAGCCCCTGGATTGTTGAATCCAAGTTGGAGATGGAGACACCCGAGCCCTTGTCTTCCCAAAACTCGGATATGTTTTATCATAATAATAACCACAACATCTTTAACAGCTATGACTTTGCCCAAGCTGGCCCTTGAACGGCAAAACGTCTGCATCAGCAATTGCTAAACTAAAGCTGTATAACCACTTCTGATCTTTCTGCTTCTAGCAGCAAAATTCAGTTTAATGCCCTTGGGAAGGAACGTGGGGGTTGCAAACATCTCGCTTTTGGGGTGCTGCTGCAGGACTCCCTGCATCAGACTCAGTAAGCACAGGGCTGGATGAAGGGGCTCATTTAATGGATGCAATGCAAGTGTCTGTGCAAGGGAAAACTCAGAGGAATTTTCCAGTGCTGATAAATGGCAACGTGTTATTCTCCAAGGATGCCTGGCTGTGTCAGAACTTGCCGAACTAACAAGTGCAGAACCTCATTGGTTTTTATGTGATTGGTTATTGTTTATAACTGGTAGCATGTATTTTCAGATGACATCCCTGTGTAGATAAAATATCCGTAAGCAAATCTTGGCTTCCAGACGGAGGCAGTCTGCAGAGGAACAGCTCCTGCCTGCTTTTCCTGTTACCTCCTGGCTGGCAAGATGCTAGAAAGAGCCACCTGAAATGTTTGGTTGTCTAACACTGTCTCAGCTTGCATTTGGGATTGTTTGGGATTTGTGTGATCGTGTCCTGTTCTGGTTACATAGGTGGGATGGCTGAGGCTTTCCTTCTTAGCTTCAGACAGATGTGGCTATAACAGCCATTTTTCTTCTCTTTCAGGATACCTCAATGATTATTTTGGGAATTATGATGCGGCCTTTTATTTTGCTGGAGTCCCCCCCATCATTGGTGGCTTGGTGCTCTCTGTTGTTCCGCTGGTCCACCAGAGGATGCTGAAGAAGCAGCGTCTGGATTCTGGCAAAGACAAGATGCTGGTCTCAGAGGCGGTGGTGAACGGGGAGCTGCTGCCAGGCTGTCCTGCCTCCGAAGCACACATGTAACGCCTCCGCTCCCCGACACTCACTGTCGCCACCAGCAGCCTCTCCATAGCCCAAGCACAGGCCCTTTTCTAGACGGACCATAATTCTCAATGATCGCAGATGCACTATGTTTGTAAAGAAAAAAACATAAAAAGTTCTTCTAGTTAAAGGCTTTTAACTAGCAGAAACGCTGGTTTTTGGGACAGTTTTGATTTCAAAGCCACCTTTTTGTTTTTCTCTAACCATTTTTCTAAGGAGAACTCTCACCAGGATTCAAACTTGATCAATCTCCCACTCCTCTCCCCAGTTTTCTATACATCACGACAGAGGTTTACAGCTAATAAATGCCTTTTTAAAGCAGGCCACAGATGGAGCTTGTTGAACCTTGCAGCTGTCCATTCTTCTCCTCCTGTGTCACGTCCGAGACAGCCCCCTCCCCGTCCGGCACCAGAGGCTGTTGTGGAGCCAGCAGATCTGAAGGAGGAAATGCTGCTTTAGTCTGGTGCACAAACCAAATAAATGGTTGGCGAGCCCCACTTTAATTTTCTTCTCTCCTCCTTTTCCACCACTCTCCCACACACCCAGGGAGCTGCAGCTAGGATGATGGGGAGCTTGGCCAGCTCCAGTCTTGCCACCCTCATCGAACGGAGCCACATGCAGCACCCTCTTCCTGCAAAATATGCCTTAAAAATGCATGGACAAGACCAGCAGGTCCCTCAGCCACTTTCTGCCTCTATTTTCTCACCCAGAGACTAATGATTGGGATTTTGATGTGCAAAAGAGAGGGGCAGCTCCCAGAGAAGCCCATTGCAGGCAAACTGTGGGCAAGCTGCTGAAACAGGCACTTTGGAGGCATCAAGGCACGCAGGGTTGGGACAGAGCCCCATGTGTCCTGGGTGGGCTCCATGCTGGGAGGCGGCTTCCCTGCACCCAGGGATGTGGGGATGCAGCCAGCTCAGAGAACAGGGGCACCCGTGGATGCGGGGATGCAACTGGCTTGGGGCACAGGATGCCACCGCTCTTTTTTGGGGCCACTTGTGTATTATGCAGCAATAACCATGAGTCAGTATTGACAGGGGAAGCCCGGTGTTTCCAAAAGGTTTAAAAGCCCTGGCAGCATTTAACCCGTGTGTTGCCGTGCAGAGCCGGTGCAGGGTCAGTGCCACCCCCGGGGGAGAGGGAGAATGCTCAAGAAAATAGCACAGCCCATGGGTACCCACCACACAGAGCAAAGGCAAAACTCAGCCTTGTGTAGAAATTCATCATCTACAGGTATTGCTAAGGAGCGTGGCACAGAGCAAGGGAAGTCCTCCTGCCCTGGTGGGTCCCATGTGAACAAGGTGCCAGCGGGAACTGGCATACCTTTTTCTGGGAATAATAACCCAGGAGAGAGCAAGAAACAAAGCTCACTTTTATCCTGGCTGCAAAAACATCCTTCACTGGATTTTCATTTTACTCACCTGTCATTAAAAAATGAGACGCTTAAAGAGCCATGTGTGCTGTGGGAATCATCCCTCAGTCCCTGGGCAAGTGTGGGGGTTTGTAACACCAAGTCTTTGCTGTGGAAACTTGGTTTCAGTGGAGGATCTCTCCCACAGGCAGCAGTGGGACCTTTGTATATAGGCTCAGGATCCTGCATGCCTCTCTGGCCCTGTTTTTAATCCGTGTAGGCTAATGCATTATATGTTCTTGTGGTCTTGTGGCCCTTCTGTCCCCGTACGAGCTGGAAAATTAACTGGTGTGTTGTGATGTGCCTGTTTATTGACTATAAAAAGAGATGTCCGTTTGTCTCTTTCTTTGATGCGCTTTTCTGTGACTGTTATTACCCTTCATTGCCTGTATTGCATCATCTGCTACAGCTCTGCTGACCCATTGCTTGGTTTAGGAAGCCACAGGAGGCAGTGGGAACTGCATTGGAAGGCAGGGCACGCATACGCCCATGCATTGGTGGGAGCTGAACCACGGTGCCCTTGCTCCAGCACTGGTGGGATCTGTCAGGCTTAGCCTAGGGCAGGGCATTAAAGTACTGTTTTTCAGGTGGGAGCATTGGCAGTGGGGCATCTTCAAAGCTGTCTGACATCTGAAGGAAAGAAATATGTTGCATCATAACTCCTTTGGTGAGTTTTGGGGCTTTTATTCTCATCAGGGTTTGATGAAGTTCTTTAAATCATATTTTTGACCTTAATGCCCCCGAAGGAGAGCTTATGAGGGATTTAAATTCAAGAAGTAGCTTCTTCAGACCATCAAGAGGATGAGCAGAGCTGCCTCAAACCCACATGTAGCCTGAGCAAGCGGCTGCACAGCTGAGCCCACCAATGACTGCACCCAGCTTTGCATGAGACTTTGTTGCGGTAAAACCTCTCTGGCTTATAAAGCAATTTATGGTTCAAATCCCAAATTTATACAGATTTCCACTTGCCTTAAATGCTCCACCCGCCTGCAAAGGTCTTTGCCCCGTCAGGAGCCTGCTTTTGGTGCAATGGGTGCTTAATGCTGCTGTGGCATCAGACCAGCTCTGTCAGCCAGGAGCCAGCGCTCTTCCCAGGAGGGATGGTGGTACCCATGTTCATCCACTCGAAATTCTGTTCTTTGCCTATGGTTCTTATTATCAACCCTCTAGGAGATTTCAAGTGATGAAGTGCATTCATGGGCCCCTGAGTCTGGCCAGAGGAATCCACCCCTCATCCTATCCCAGACCAGTACCAGCCTCCCAGACCCATTCTCAGCATCTTTGTCTGGTCAAGATCCAGCCCTTGGTCAAGACGAAGGCAAATTCTGCAGCAGTGAAGGCATGTTTGAGCAACAGCAATGAAAGGTTCACCTCATCTGCAAACACAGATGGGAATGGGAAGGGCAAAGGTTGGAGTAGTCTGTCAACATAAAGGGAAGTATTTCTGGGTTTGTTTGTCAGATAAATGCTGCTGCTGTGCGTCGTTTGTCCCTTGAGTTATCAGGCAGCTTGCAAGAATTTTTGCAGACTTGTGGCATGTGAGAGATGGGATTGTGGCAATCTGAGCATCTGTAAACAGGGAGAAATCGCATTGGTCTACAAAACATCCTTTTAACTGTTGTAGTCTGGTGCTGTGACGCCAACCCTACCTGTTGCAAAAAAGCCTTGTCCTAAAACCCCTCCTGTGTCTTCCCATCAGAATCTGCTCATCCTAGCCCAGCACATCCATGTCCTCCTCTGGGCACGTGAGGGCTGAACAGGAGGCAGCACTCACAGCAAAAACTACCTTTTACTCAGTTTTCTAATTAAAAAAAATACCCCAAACTTCTCCTTCCCCTGCAAGCACCCTGCTCCTTTGCTTCAGGAGGGGAATGTGAAACCCAACACTGGGCTCGGCCATTTTTGGGAGCCAGAGAGGGCATGGGATCAGGTCGAGTCCCATGAGTGGGAAGAGGGTGGAAGTGAGTGGGGAGGGAGCAGCTCTGCTCCATGCCTGGGGTGTTTGGAGAGCTGCAGGCACGCGCGTAGCCTTATGTAAGTGTACAGCAAGCGCAGGACGTGTCCCAGCAGCGCCCTGCTCGGGGCTTGGCTGGGGCTGCCTTTCTAAATCTTTAGCTTGAGGGTGTTCAAAAACAAGTTATTGTCTTTTCTTCTTCTTTTCTTTTTCTTTTTTTTTTCTTTGCTGCTGCAGAGTGAGGCGCCAGATTTAACTCCTCTCACTCTGGCTGAGGGATGGAGTGGGACAGCCAAGTTGGAAGGGCTCCAAGGGGTGGTTGTGTTGTCAGCCTTTTGGGGCTGCCCCTGCGATGGGAAGTCTGGCAGGGCAGTGGCTGCAGGAGCTGCTTGGGAAGTGCCATGATTCATGGCTTGGAGCTTTTTTGAGTTGTGAAACAAAGCTTGAAGCAGATGCAGGGAGCTGCTTCATTGTAGTGTGACCTGCCCTGAAGTCCTGTGGCCAGGGACAGACATGTTTCTAAGTCACGTAGGTTAAATTTAACATATTCTGGCCACTCATTGGCTGGGGTTGAGGTTTCCCAACATTTCCCTGCTGTGGGAATTGTGGGAAGGCCACATCCTAATTGCCATCAAAGCTTGAGGGCTTTTTCAGGTCTGCTGCGGTACCATGGGGTTTGGGGACCCCCATTTTCAAGATGTTCTGGCTCTGCCTCCCACCATTGTGGTGGTTTGGGGCTGCCTGTTTGGCTACTCCAGCAGTTGAGAAGCTTCATAACCCTCCAGGCTGAGCTGCCTCGTCCAGAGGAGCCGGGAGACGGAGGTGGCGTGCAGCTGGGCAAGGACATTCCTGGCCCTCTGTGCGTGAGAGCACCACAGAAGCGTTTCGCACAGCAATAGAGGGTCTCTTTTGGCATGGTACGTCGGTGCTAAGAGCAATTTGCTCTGGCAGTCTGATTTGGTGCTGAGGGCCTCATCTATGTTTGTTCAGATCACCCCAATTCAGCATCTTGGGAAGCTTAGGGTGGATTTTCACCCTGATGGACATCTGCATGTGGCCATATGGTCCTCCTCATCTGCATATAGGTGAACTTGAACAAATCCTCTGGATGCAGAGGGGGACAGATCCAGCTGAGACCCTTGCCATCCCTCCATCCTTCACTGCAAACTGTTACCCAGCTTTCACATGCTTCTGTACCCAATAGTTTTGTTTGGGGGTTACCTTGGTTATTTTAGCTTCAATAAATTTCACGCTGGCAGAGTTTGCTTCTCCTTATCCAGCTGGAAGCAGAAAACTGGAATGACTTTGAAAGCCCCAGCTACTTTGCCAAGGCAAGTGGGGCAGCCCCCTCCCACCACTGGACCTGCTGCCTTTCTGCCACCAAAACCTGCACTCAGGCAGCTCTTTCAGGCACTTTTGTTTAAACCTCAGCTGCCCTTGTAACCTTTGGGGAGAATGCTGTGATTGACAAGTGCTCCTTAAATACTCCTCCTACATCCTCTGCGTAATGCCAGGCAGGAATGGAGATGACACTGTAGGGCTCCATTGGCAAGCATTGAACTTAAAGAAAGTTGTTTCCCTTCTTTCCGAGAGCCCTTGGAAGGAAAGCAGAGAGGGGGATGGATGGAGATGCCATCCCTGTGCAGTTTTGCATGGGCTCTGTGGCTGAGCCCTGGGGGTGGCAGGGGTGATCCTTCCCATGGCTGGGGCTTGAGCATAGCTCTGGGTGCTTTATCAGCTTGGCACAGACTTTAGTCCTCGTGACAGCAAGGTTATCACTGGGTTTTGGTGGGCTTGTCCTGCCTTTGAAGGGTGTTTGTTGTTCATTTTTGCAAACGTTGCAATGCCCTTAGTGCTCCCACCAAGGACAGATTGTGCGAATCCCCCCATGTCTCCCCTTCCCACCACAGCTGTGCTACCATGGCAGCCAAACACTGACACCACCCATCACGGGCATGGGGCTTGGCACCCCACTCCCGGGGGAGGCAAGGCAGGAGAGGAAAGACACAGTCCCTCCAGTTTTCTGCAAAACATGTCTTCGGAAGGAGGTTTGTACCTCCAAAGTTTCTCCGTGTAACATACTTCGCAATGCTCACTCTGTCCACCTCTGACCAGCAAGGCAAGTGTAGCTCTTAACCGTAGCGTTAGAGGCAAGGCTTAGTGTCTATTTTACTAAGGAATTAAGCTTTTTTTTTTTTTGTACATTTCTAATCGTGGCCTGTAAGATGAGTTGTTTACTGGAGCAGGATTTTGCGTAGCATTGATGCTCCGCTTCTGGTTGGTGACGGCCAGATTGCCTGAATGCAGTTGGGTTTTTGGCTGCCGAGGGCATTCAATCAAATAATTTTGGGAAAGAGCATGACTGCTTGAGGCCTGAACTTTCCCAGCATATCCTGTTTCAGCCATTTGAACCCATTAAAGCCGAAGACAGGACTTTTTCTGGGAGGCTGAGGCAAATTAGGAAATTACCCTGCTCTCCCTCCCCCACCCTGAAATCCAGCAGGATGAAACCAAATATTTGCTTTTGGATGGGTGAATGTTGGAGCCAACTCCACATACAGCATTGAGGTGGAGGCTTGAATTTTTGCCATTTTGGGTAATTCATGAAACAGCTTGTTTTTAAAGCAGGACCTCCAAGCCTGCTGCCATCCTGCCCTGGTCAGTGAATCCCGATACCATGCCTTTCTCCAGCCCTGCTGCTGTCCAGGGCTGTCTCACTTGGTATTAGCTCCATCGCTGATGGAGAAGAATCCTGCCCACGGCTTTTTGGGATGGGATGCATTGCTTTGCCCTGCTGATATGCTGGTAATGCTCACCCTTGCGGTGTTTGTACCCACTAGAAAGACTCAATAAAAGGCTGCAAGCACTGTCAGTAGCTTTGCAACATCATTTTTTTTTTTCACTGTGTGCCCAGCTCTGCCTCAGCAGGAGTCATGCATGGCTCCAGACTGGGTCTTGTGAGGTGCACAGGGATGCTGGGCACCCTGGGCAGACCAGCAGAGCCAGTGGCCTGAAAGCAGCCACTCAATTTAATGCAGAAGTCAGACCCCGAAGTCTAAAATTATTCCTTTTTTTTTTTTTTTTTTGATATCTGCTCCTTGTAAGCAATTTATATTCCCTTAAAATTTTGTATCTGAAAGTAAAGTATTTGAATGTGTGTCTTAAAAGTATGACTATCCTTTCAAAATGTGAATTTTTGATTGTTGGTATACAAAAACAACAACAACAACCCCCTATTAGCACATTTTTGTAATTAATGTTTTATGAATGTTGTTTTTAAAAATTGTGTAGAATAAAACCATTTTAAAAAGAAAAGGGGTCTGTGCCTGTGTCTCACCAGATTTCTTCTCACCATGGCCAGTCATGGGCTGTGGCCAGTCATGGGCACTGGTCCCCCAGCAGCTTTCCTGGCTGCTGCCAACCTTCTGCCCAGTGCCTGCCCAGGATGTCAAGAGAAAAGGAGCTGGAGAGGTGGCAGTTTAATATAGGAATTCAGGAATTATTTTTCTCAAGCTTTTTGCACACCTTGAGGAAAGGCTGTGCCAAGGTTTTGGAGCCTGATGGGGCAGAAGAAGTTCCTGATGCGACACAGAAGGGTGAAAGCTGGAGGTGGTGTCAGTGGGTGGAGAATGGTCCTTGTCCCACTCAAGGCATCAAAACCTAAAAATAATAGAGAAATACCTGAGAGAATCTCAGTGCCCAAAATGGTGTCAGTGCTCAGGGTGAACCTGTAGTGACCCGAACGGATTTCCCGTCTGTTCCCCTGGGCACAGCTTTGGGTCTAGCTTTTATCAACCATCGTCTTCAGGGGACTATGGCTCGCTGGCATCTTTGCTCCGTGGGAGGTCTCACGCAGGGACAGCACCAGAGCTTTTTTAAATTATTGTTAGTAGTATTATTTCTCCCTTCTGACAGTGGTTCAGGAGCACAGAGAGGCCTCCCAGGTATTGTTGCTGGTCACAGGAGAGCTATTCTTTTCTGTCAGTAAGAGCAGTTATGGGAGAGTTGAGGTCAGGCAAGATTGGGGATGATTATTCATAAGAGAGGTTACAGTGGCTGTGAGACACTGAAAACAAGGCTTTTATATTAATGATTTGTTTATGCTAGGTGCTTTAATTGACATTAGATGAAAGCTGACATATACATAATTTTATATAGCTCGTTTTTTTTTTTTAATGTGCATCTCAACTCTTTTTCAAGTTGGGGATATTTACTGCAAATAGTATTTGAAAAAAAAAAAACGCCAGGAGATAAGAGATGGTAAACAGAGATTCAAAGGGAATGAGACTACTGCAACGAGCTCATCCAGAGGACTTTGTGCCGTGCCTGCAGGGACAGAGCAATGCGTGGTAATGCTGCATCCCATTCCTGAGAGTGGCAAGCACTGCACAAACATGTGGGGCTGCACAATGCTTCATTTACAGCTATCAAAAAAGCAGTTCTAGCCTAATGTTACAACTGTCTTATTGGGATAGCTGCAGATTTTGGGGGGAGTGACTTGGGAGGATGCTGGGGTGTGTGATAAAAGCAGGCTGCACACCCATGGGCACACCCAGAGGGGCAGTGGGGGGGAAGCCCCTGCCTAGCTGCTGCCAGCCCCCTCGAGGAGCATCAGCTCATCACAGCCCATCTCCACAAACTCTGTGTAAATAAATAAATATGTACATACATACATATCTATCTATATATGTCTCCCCATAGGTGTGTTTGTACATGTGCCCACTGGGAATCCCCACTCAGCCTTGCTGCTGGCTGAGCCCAGGGCATGGAGCAGCAGCAGCCTCCTGTGGCTCTGACAGGCTGCTGGATCTGGCCCTAATACACAGCAAGTTGAAAAAGTGCAGAAAAAAAGTATTTTGGATCAGAACAAAACCCTGAGTTTTTCAATACAAAGGCTGCAAACTAGAAAAGACCAAACAAAACAACAAAAAAGTTTTCATTACTATAACACAATACTTAAGTATTTATCTATTAATACATTAAAATTGAAATACCATGGATTAAAACAAGCTGATTATATATAATAGTTTACATTTGTACTTACAAAATGTAAAATTTACATGTCTGTTTTATATATTAAATATGAACCACATGTCAATGGTTTATATTAGTTTAATAGTGATAAATGACATGGTTTAAATATAAATATGCAAATGGCATCTACGATATCTATAGTTACATTTAGTTGGTTTTTAAATTTATACATATATACACACACACACACATGAAAATGTATATAGATATGAGCAGTGTGTACATGCTGCCATTGGGTGAGGCCGACTGCCTGCAAGTGGTTACTGGGCATTTGGAGGCCACGGGCCCGTGCTGTGCCTGGCCGCTCCTCTGCTCTTCTCCCTGCAGGCTCTGGGCTGGGCTTGTTTTCTTTCATTGTCTTCTTCTCCATCTGTTTTCTTTTTGCAGGATTTAAATAAAATAATCCTTAAAAATAAAAAAAAAAAATACCCTGCCTGCAAGTGCCTTTGAAGGACTTAAAAGGATGCACTGGTGAGTGGCAGGAGCTTGTTTTTCAATCATCTCTGCCTCTAAATGCAAATCTTTCCTAGAGCCATTGCTTTGCTGTCGTTATTTAAAGCAATAATTTGGAAAAGATCCCTTCCCAGAGCTGTTCAGCCACACCCACACTCGGCAGGGCTGCCAGGACTGTTGCTCAGGCATCAAACTGGGGTTATCGTGGGACCCTCTGCCTTGAGAGCAGGGTGCCCTGAGAGCAGGGTGCCCAGCACCCATGACCAGGTACTGGGATGCATCACTGAAGGAGAAAGGAAAACAGACAGGGTGCAGCTGGGGTGAGCTTGGGATGCACTCGCTTTCCTTCAGGTTGAGTTGTAGGGGCTTTTTTACGTACAATATGGGAAACCACTTAATACTGGCAGCGGGGCAAAGCAAGGGAAGAAAAAAAAAAAATGCTTAGCTTTAAGGCAAACACAACAAT